TATGTATATATATATATATATATATATATATATATACAAGTATACAAATAAAGTATGCTGTTTATAACTTAGAAGAAAAATAAATGTAAATCAAAGCAATAATACAGTGCTCAAATATAGGAACATGATGATATCAATCGTATATATAATATATATATATATATATAATATATATATATATATATATATGTATATGTGTGTGGGGGGGGGTGGGTATGTGTGTATGCGTGTAACGCATAGGCCTATCTGTGTATGTGTGTACGTGCATTCGTAAATCAAAAATTCTGATCTTATCCAAAACTATCAACAAAGATTGAAAATGTTTTTTCCTACATATAAAATATACATACTGTACCTGCATTCATAATTTTATCAACAAAATCTAGATACGGGATAATTCGATGATAAACTGCAGGTCGAAACCGTTCGGCACAGCGATACCCAAAGCTCGTTAACCCAACTAGGTACCACTTCTCATCTTCTCCAAGGCAAACGAGTGGTCCACCACTATCTCCCTAAAGTGTGCACAATAGGATAAATTTTGTCTTATAAACATATTGCCCAGTTTTTGGATATGTTCACAATAAACACACATTATAAGTTATTTGTGCGCATTTGTTACGTACATGTATGTAAACGAGTTAATATCTCGTACGTACCAGATAACATCTAAGTACGACTTATTATCTCTTACGAAGACGTGGAATTTCCATGAAGCGGACGGGCCTATATTCACCAAACATATGTATATGGCTTGTCATCCCAAAACCAGTGTGCTGTCGCTAAATGTTAAACTGAGTAATATAAGAATGTCGCGGAAAAGCCATAATCCTTTTACTCATAACTTTAGCAATATTAAGTCTATTCAATTATGTGTAGAATATATAAATATACTAGAAATTGCAAATTGCAAGTGAAGTGCTGCGAAGTACAACTGCATAAAATGTTCTTTGAACAAAATTATTTATGCGAGTCAAGTGAAAATAATGAATAATAAAAATATAACAAATAAT